ACGGAAAAATTAGGTTTTCTTATATTAATCACAAGGTTGGCCTCTGATATCGAGGTCGGCACTTTAGTTATACTTTGAGTATTCACGGGAAATTAGTACAAAGGGGGAAGAGTAATTGTAAAGAGAGAAATAGTTGGTGGCAGATTCAACAACCCATAATAAATGAAATGAGTTGTCTATTTATAGTATCCTTAATACGGCACTGTTCACGCACTGTTCATTCTGTCTTGTCACACAATGGCTCGGAATGACAGGTCAGCACTGCTCTAACAGATATTAAATGCGATTTGAGGTTTCTCCAATGATTACCTGTCAGGCGTTAAATGCACACATGTGGGGCATTTAATGCTGACAGGCTTTCCTGGCGGGTTAGATGCCCTAGGATGATAGACTAAGGTGACGCGTCCCATCAGGAATCATTAGTTGACAAGTGATAATATTTTATTAGTTCTTGGTCCTGCGTACACCCAGAAGCCAGTCTCGTGGAATCTTCAGGCTAGACTTCCAACATTATTTTATCCCCTGGTCCCTGGGATTCCGTTTTTCTATTCGGCGCCTACGGAGGTCGGCCTCGTCGCTAAACTGTAGAGGTGCCGAATCTTGAGGATTGTGCCGTTCATCATCTTCGTCAACTTTGCTTCCTGGTCAGATCGGCATTCATAATTTCTTGGACACCGGTCCGAGTTCTGAGGTCGTCTTCTCCCGGTTCATTGTCTTCGAACAGGGAATCCTATATTGGCCCAACTCGGATATCAACAAGTGACACTTCTATCTTGCAATTGTTGTCAAATGAATATTGTTTTTTTGAGTTAGGATTTTTGATTCTAAGGGATCCGTTGATTAACCATCTTCTGATTTAATTAAGTGGCTTTTAGAAACAAAAGAATAGTATATTGGTTTGGATTGAAATACATGCGTCTATGCCCGTTCCATTGTTATGAAAGTTATTGGAATCGAACCCTAGGCCATTGTGTAGGCTTGAACTTAGTCATCTATATTCAATCCCTTGTTACGAAAAATTATTGGGATCGAACCGCTAAGTGATTAAGCGGGAGTGTCAATCTTGAACCGAACAATTATTTGGTCGATTTTGCGTTTAGAACAGAATAAATTATCCCTTAACTCCCTAGTTTCTTTATCAATGTTTGATTTATGTTTTTGAGTTGATCTCTGTTTTTTTTTTTATTTTTTGTATTTTCTGTTATTTCTTAGCTGATAACTCAAACTTCAATCATGATTAGAGTGTTTAGGATTTATTTTGCTTTAGTGTGCGATCAACATCGAATTTCGATTCCTTACCGCCTTTCTCGAAGGATCGACCCGAGGTCGGGAGCCATCCTGTAGTAGGTAAAAATATAATTTGCTACAACAAATTTGACGTCGTTGCCAGGGAAGGCAAGTAGGATATTGTTTTAGTGTTGATTTTATTTTCTTGTGTTTCTCTTTATTTGTGATTGTCATGTTTATGTTTTTTCTTTGTGTCTTTCTTTTTCTATTTGTTTTTGTGTTTGTTTTAGTTTTCGTGGCTTCATGTGGTTTGTTTGGTTCTTGTGTGCAAGGCATTTGATCGAAGAGTTCAATGAAATGAGGCTACCTAGTCGCATCCTCGTACGCTCGCTCTTAGAATATTGGGTCGAGCTGCCACTTCGGGCGCTATAGTCATGCATATTTATACCCTTAGGAGCATCAGTGGGATTCGGTCCTAGTTGAGTAATCGTATGAATTCTATGAGAATTCCTCATAATACAACACAAAGCTTTATCAGATTCTCGCGATTCTGACATTCCAAGCAGCTTGAAGGAAAAATCTTGAGACCGGAATTGAGAATCTAGCAGAGAATTTTCTATCAGTAGTTTCCAGGATCAGTGGACATGTAGCGAATAAAATTGTAACCAACCCGTCACAGCGTTTTCTATCTATAAGGATTGAAAAAAGAAGTGAAAGCGCGTCGTGAGCACTCGGGTGTCATTTCACTTAGGCCTTGTGCCACTCAGCGTCTTTGCGCGCAAGTTGGGCTCTAAAACAACTCGGTCAGGCTTTATGCCACTCAGGCCTTGTGCCACTCAGCGCCTTTGTGCGCAAGCTGAGCTCTAAAATAGCTCGTTCAGGCTTTATGCCACTCAGGTCTTGTGCCACTCAACGTCTCTGTGTGCAAGCTGGGCTCTGAAACAACTCGGTCAGGCTTTATGCAACTCAGGCTTTGGGCCACTCATTCCATGTGCCACTTAGCGTCTTTCTGCGCAAATCGGGCTCTTAAAGAGCTCAGTCAGGCATTATGCCACTCAGGCCTTGTATCACTCAGCGTCTTTGTACGCAAGCCAGGCTCTAAAACAGCTCGGTCAGGCTTTACGCCACTCAGGCCTTGTGCCACTCAGCTTCTTTATGCGTGAGCCAGGCTCTATAATAGCTCGGTCAGGCTTTATGCCACTCAGCATTTTTGTGTGCAAGTCGGGCTCTAAAACAGCTCGGTCAGGCTTTATGTCACTCGGGCTTTATGCCACTCAGTGTCTTTGTTGGCAAGTCGGGCTCTAAAACAACTCGGTCAGGCTTTATGCCACTCGTGCTTTATGCCACTCAGCGTCTTTGTGCGCAAGGCGTGCTCTAAAACAGCTCGGTAGGCTTTATGCCACAGGCCTTGTGCCGCTCAACATCTTTGTGCGCAAGCCAGGCTCTATAATAGTTTGGTTAGACTTTATGCCATTTCGCCCATAGAAAGCATTTTGTTTGCATCGTGTCTTTCCCAGACCCACAACATTAGCCTCATCGAGGCATATTGATGTTAGGCTCCGTTTGGTTTGAGGGATTTGAAATCCTTTGATTTCAAAATTTTTGAAATACAATTTTTTTTTTTTACTTGCACACACATTGAATGGATGTGTTGAAAATATTATAAATAAATTGTCTAACTCGCACCGATAGTGTTAACTCGTGGTGGTGATGAATTTAAATGATCGCAGACGGCGTAGTCGTCAACGGTGATAAACAGTGGATTTCAAATGACTAGGTTTGAGGAGTCATTTCAAATCCTTCAAAATAATGACTAAAAATATATAGCATGAATTTGAAATCCTCCAACTTCCATTATCATCCAACATGCATGAGCAATTGAACTTGTAAATTTGAAATCTATGGATTTCAAATTTCTCAATAAATCCCTCAAAACAAACGGAGTCTTAGACTGTTAATATTTGACATTATAATTCGGAAAAGCTTGGCACGTTTAAGAAAAACATCCATCGTGAAACCTTCTTTTAGTATAAGATCTAACACAAATGTGGCCACTTTTTCAGGGTCAATATTTATTGTTTTTCTTGGGACCCTTATGTCAGCGACTCTCAGACCGTGATAACCTATGATATTCAAATCTCGCGGAAATCTGTCACGTATTTTCCTATCTCCTCATTTTTTTTATTTTTTTTTTTTTNCCTCAAAAACTGTACCACAAATCCAAGTGGTGGTTTGGGCTGCAAACTTGAACAAAGATATAAAAACATAGTTTTCTTATTTTTGACCTTATATACAAATATAAAGCACCGATGGAAAATATTCTAATAATAAGATGTGAGAAAGGCAAGGACATCGACGTGAAGATGTATATAGAGTAGATTCTCAGAATACACAACACAACTTAGCCATCTGTTCCATGAACATGACCTTCAGGAAAAAAAAAAAATGAATTCAAAAGTACAAATTTCATAACAAAGTGGATAACATAGATGTAAGGAAATGAGGATAATCCGCTTTGATTTTGATTTTACAATACAGACAAGATAACACATGGACCACAAAATAAATCACATTTGTTTCGAAAGATGAGATAAGATAATTTTAATCATGTTTCTTAAGACATAAATAAATACTTTACGATGAGGTAAGTGGATTAACTGGATATAATGTGTTGTATATTTGTTGACTAGGATAATGTGTAGATATTTAATACAATTATATCATATCTAACAAATGTGTCCTAAGTTTATCCATAATTTCATCTCTAATCATCTATGAGATCCACCCTATTAATAAAAGTAATTTGTCATCGGCTCAATTAACTTTCCTGGTAAACGAACTTAGAAGAAACAAGTTGATTTTTTTTAAATATTAATAAGTTATAATGGTATTTAATATTTTATATACGCTTAACTATTTAACATGTTTGTATCTGACTTGGCTACTTAAAAGAATCTTTTCATATTTGTAACTGGGTTAGTAGATTACATTTTTGTGATTGAAATTTAGATGCAATATATCCCACGGTCATATCCATCAACCAAAAAGATACTAGTCATTTATAATAAAATTTTTAACATTATTTCGTACTTTTTTTATCTTTTTTAAATTAAAAAAGTTATTACTATGTGTTTATTTATAAAATTCACTATTTATCATCAATTACCATTACATTATTTTCTTATCATATCATAATTAATTACTATATCGCATAAGTTAGATGTTAGCGGATCATATCGGGTGTTTGACCAGTGGATTGTATTGCTTGTTTTGACCGAAGAAATTACATTAGTGAATTGTGTTAAAACGTTTTGTAAAATTGGTTGACTGATGTTAATATGTTATATAAAATAACTAATGTGAGTAAATATAATTACTCTAATAATAATAATAACAATAATATATACTCACATTAATTATTTTATTCAACTTACTAACACTAGTTATTTTTTTCATTTTTATTCACATTAGTTATTTTATTCAACCTTGTCATCCACAATTGGCATGAACCCTTCAAAAGAAATAACAATGTTATCTCCCAAATCAGGATCATATGAACAGTGTCATCTCTTTGAAATAGATGCTCTTGCAGTCTATGGCCTCATTCAATTTTAAACTTAACCCTGAAATAAAGAAATCACAAATAAAGTCTGATTTCAAAAATAAATGAAACAACTATACTAACATAAAAAACAAAAATATAAGTACGTTGCATTTCTTGTTGAGGTGATCATTAAGAAATACAGACATTACTTATTTGCTGCATGATACTTGCAAGGTGTGGTTAAGTGCTTGTTAAGTTTATTGTTCATGTGGGGCAAGCTTGGCGCATCACAAAAAACAAAGTAAGTGTGAGAGGATAGACACATACGCATATATATAAACTCCTAATTTAGAGAAAAGCAAGAACATACACTGTCAAAGCCCCAAAACAAGAGTTAATTGGACATCACAGAAAAAATAATAAAGTTTTTCCCCTTTAAGCTGACATAAAAAAACAGGCAGAATAAACTACAACATATGCTGCTTGGCTCGTCAATCTGCTTTATTCTCGTCTCCATCGTTGTCATCTTCACGGCGTTTTTTCCTGGCTTCACTTTTTGCAGGGGACTCTTTTCTCTTAGCATTCTTGTTTGAATCTTTTGCCTTTGACGACGCAGCCTTCTTTTCAGCATTCTTTTGCCTAAACTCTGCACCGAGATACCAAAGGAATAAGATGTAAAAAGAATACTAAAACAGAACTCATGACATGAAAAAATTACTCAGTGATGCCAGTCACTAATACAGTACACAAAGACTAGGTCAAAGTTATATCCCAATCACTAATAGAGATACATTTATCATAAACCGAGAAGGTTAAAATAGGCAGTTTGAGAACCATGTCTAATTTCTA